GAAGAATCAAGGCTGCCCATGGCTTCCTTCTACAACTTACACCTGGATCAGGAACCGGACTTCTGGGGGTTGGACAGGCCACCCTTGCTTCATCATCCCTTGCACCGGGGTGGGCAGCCAATGCCCATTCTAATGCCAACCAGCTATGGGCACCATTCCATGTCCCATGGGCAGCATCATCAGGCTTTTAACTTTGAGCCCAATGTGATGGCCACTCATTTAGGCCATGGGTATCCAGCCCACCAGAGGCCCAAAGTAACAGAAGATAATGCAGAGGCCTTTGCTTATCCTCGCTACAGCTCAGCCTATCATCCAGTTCCACCATATACCTGTGGCAGAGCCCCAGTGAAGCCCTGCCTCTCCCCCTACACCTCGGGGTATTTGGGGTCTCCTCAGTCGGGCTCCATTTCTCCAGCCAGCCCACTGTATCCGCCATCCCGGAAGCACGGATATGAACCCCCGGAGGGCAACGATGGATATTTACTGCCACCATCCACAGAACAATCGTGTGGTGAGTGACAGGAGTAAAGTTGCTCCTTCTCCAAGCCAGGAGAAAGAGGCAAGACAAGAGGGGATCCTTTTTGTGAAATGATCAGTAATAATAATTTTTTTAAACAATAGAAAAAAGGGCCAGTAATAGTAATATTTGGGACTAGAAAAAGAGCATTGGAAAAAAGCAGCAGGACCAGTATAGACCAGGGGTAGGCAACCTTGGCTTACGACTGTAATGGGGCCGGCCCATCGTGGTTGTAAGTCATGACATTTGTAAAACAGTCACATATCAATTTTATGATCTTTTTTGGGTGATTGCTAAGCTAATACAATAATCATAAAGTGGCCACTGTGGACATGAAGTGACTGCCACGATTGTTAAGTAAGCCAGTGGTTTGCGATGGGCAGTTTTGCTGAAAACTGGAAGCAAAGGCCAGCTTTCAACAAAACCCTGGTAACTGCAAGATGCTGCAAACAGCCATAAATATGGCTATGTTGTTGTGGCAGGGGGATGGAGTGGGCAATCCTTGGAACTTCAAATCTGGGTTGTAAGTAGTCCTAAGTCTAGACTGGTCGCTACGCATCCAGTTGTAAGTCAAGGTCACTTACGTTACAAGTGACCAGGCTCAGAAAGAGCCTTTAGTGTTCTCTGACCTTGGTTGTTTTCTTGCAGACATTTCATTACATATCATCAGTAGGAGGGAGAATTGGATCTGTTGGTCCTTCCAGTCTTGGTGGTGTTTCAGCTTCCTTCTTGCTGGTTCCTTGATTATAATACTGTTTCTTTCCTATATTTCAACGAACCTTGAACTGGGCAGACCCCAGTGAATTCCCCTGCTCCTGGCCCTAAGCAACACAATAAAACCAGATAATTCTGTGCAGGCTTGTTTTATTTATATGAACCCATTGGCAGCAAAACTGAGCTTTTCTCAGCACAGATTTTGAAGGAATCAATGTAATCTTAATTTTTTTTTAACATTTACCCCAAACATTTACCTTTTGAGTATTACTCTGCTAATGCTGTGTGTGTTGCAACTACTACATTACCATAAGCTTAGGTTGATTCATGACATCTGTTATCTGATTCATGACATCTACCAACACACCGGCTTCCTTTCTTTTTTATTTTCTTAACAGTCATTGAGGTAGATTCTGTTGAATAGGACCAGACAGTCCAAAGTCACCCCATTAGTTTCATAGTTGAGTGAGGATTTGCACTAGGGTTTTCCCCAAATCCATCATCACAATCCATTGCTGTAATGCTCTCTACATGGGGCTCCCCTTGAGGAGCACCCGGAGGCTCCAGCTGGTCCAAAATGCGGCCGCGCGGGCGGTGTTGGGGGGGACTCGACGTTCCCACGTGACGCCGCTGCTGCGCGAGCTACATTGGCTGCCTGTGGCCTTCCGGGTGCGCTTCAAGGTGCTGACTATCATCTTTAAAGCGCTCCATGGCNTTATTCCAGCTCGCAGGACTGGCCTAGGGTAATTTTTAGAGGGGTTTTAATCAATAATTTTAAATTGGACAATTCTCTAATATTCTTTTTAATTAATTTTAAATCCGTATTGTTATTTGTGTATTTTAATTGATTGTCCGCCGCCCTGAGTCCTACGGGAGAAGGGCGGGATATAAATCTAAATAATAATAATAATAATAATAACGCAGAGTGTCCAAATTAGCTGTCTGGCTTTGCTGTTTCGTTAAGGTTTTTCCTTGGGAAGAACAAGAAGAGAGGAACAGTAGTTTTCCAAGAGGAACCGTAGTTTTCCAGATGGAGCTTTTAGCAGCAACTGCTGATCTGTTTTGGGAATAATTCAGCGACATTGAGAAGGTCCAGACGTTCTCCAGTCTGGTGTTAAAGGCATGCTTGGTGCAAAGCCCCAGAATTGGGACTGAGTTCCTATGACGTTATTTGTGTCTTTGCTGACTGTCTTGTGCATCTCTTCCTTCCCTTTTCCTTAGAGCTTCAAGACTGCAGGGAGGGCATCGCCTGGCAAGACCTGCCCGCCTCCCTACAACATCATCGGCAGGAGGTCCGAGCTGCTTGTACAGATGAGTCTACCTCTCCCATGCCTGTGCACACCAGCAGTCCTGTATTCAACAACAACAGGTACCTTTATGTCTGAGTGCACTGAGCCTTCCTAGACATTTGTTATATAGTGATACAAGTTAGAGTCAGAACTAGCACGACTCTGAGTTTATGCTTGAATCTGTGCTTGTAATGCCGTGCTATTCTGGAAAATCAGTTCCTTGAAGCTTGTAAGGCTTCCTTAGGGAACAGAACAATGATACTCCTTGAACTATAGTCTGATGCGGAGATTTCCTACAATACACAACCAGATAAATATTGGCTGTGGATAGCCAAGAAAAGAAACAAATGGATCAACAGCAAGTTAACCCAGAGTTCTCACTTGAAGTGCAAAGGACTGGTCTCAGATTATCACATTTTGAACATACTATCTAAAGACCTAGCTCTTTTGAGAAATCTGTAATACTGGGAAAGGTAGAACTGAAGAGATGAGGACAACCAGCCACAAAGGAGATGAATTCAATTTCAGTGGCAATAGGTTGCATCACACTCGTGTCAGAAGCACCAAGGTGCTTCTGGGTTGAAAGGATTCGCCAGTGACATCACCGTTGCCTGGGGGATGCCCACTTAGGGGCTCCTTTCAAGAGCTGGAGTGAAGGACAGGAGCTCACCCCACCCCATAGCAGCACATGGGTCTTAAATGCGGGCTTGCTAACTTCCAACCCAGCATCCTAACCACGTGAGCCACTGCGCTCCAGTAGCAATTATTGGAAGTAGCATTATTGGAAGACTTGAAGGACCAAATTGGGGACAGATCATCCTGAAGAATGTTTGTCTTCTAGATGGCCACTAGAAGTTGACACTGACTTGACAGTATGGTTCATAATTAATCTGAGACAACACTGTCAAGACTAGTAACCACAAATAGGTTTGTGATGTTTTCCCAGTCTTAATGCCTTTCAGATGGCTGGATGAACTCGCCATGTTCCCTAATTATTGCTGCCATGGCAGTATTCCTGGTATCCTAGGAATTAAAGCCACCCAGGTGGAATATGTCAATGATGAGAAAGGTTGCAGAAGGTGGCATGTCAGTTGGTGCTGTAATAGTATGTGGGAATGGCCTTGGGAGACAAGGGGAAGAAATACTGCCTAGGGAATCTAGAAAGGAACCTCTCTAATTGGACAGGTGGTAGAAAAGAGCCAGCAGGAGATTTGTGATTTCAGACTTGCAAGACTCCCAAATAGACCAGAAACGAAATGCAACATGAACTAATTTTATTTTATTTTAAGGCTACTATCAACTATCTGACTAGCGATCTCAAAATCAAGGAATCTTCAAGGCTTTGAAATGCCATAAAAAGATAAAACTTTATTGAATACACATCTCGGAACTGAAGAAGCAAAACCAGCTCTGGTTTTCCCATGCAAAAATCTGCCTAGTTAACAATAGCTTCCCATAACCCCGACCCATCAAGTGTTCACGTTGCCCAATCATACTTCTTTGGTTTATGAGAACGGTCCACTTCTCTGTCAGACATCTGCATTAGTGACCTTGGCTCTCATGGTCCGTGGACAGCTTCTTAGACTCCTGTTTCCTTCTCACACTTCCTACTCCTCCCCTCTGTTTCTATGGCAAGTTGAGTAGTGATAGAATTTAGCAGGCATCTTATCAATTCAACTTTGACAGCTACATTAACAGAATCTTACAATGATAATTGTTTCAGTCAAATGTATTTGATGTAAACCAGTGGAACAGCTTGCCTCCAGAAGTTGTGGGTGCTCCATCATGGAGGTTTTTAAGAAGAGACTGGACAGCCATTTGTCTGAAATGGTATAGAGGGTCCTGCTTGGGTAGAGGTTGGACTGGAGAACCTGCAGCATCCCTTCCAACTCTATTATTCTGTTCTGTTATTCTTTCTATGATCATTTCATTACATATCATCATTTCATTACATTACATTACATTACATATCATCAAGCCCCAAAAAAGTCCAGAATGACCTCCAAGGTCCCTTCCTAACACTATGTTCTCTATGTTCTAAATTAAAGCGGACCCCCTCCTCCACCCCATAACATCTACATACTTCTGTATTTGCAGAACTTGCCAAGAAATCAAATCTCTCTCTTTTGCTTGTAAATCTTGACTAAGAACACATAACCCGCATTGATTATGACATGGCTGAAGGATATTAAGAAATAATTAATATACATGACTTTGAATATCTATACAACAATTTTATTAGAAGACTTTTTACTTTACTTTCTATGATGGTCCACGCTGGTTGTTTTAAATGCAAATTTGTAAGGAGTGTTGAAATCTCCCTTTAGGTCAGAGGTCCCCAACCTTTTGAGCACCAGGGACCGGTTCCGTGGAGAGATGTTTTTCCGTGGACTGGAGGGGGCGTGGTTTCATGTACTGCCTGCATCCCACAGATGGGGCTTTGCTTGTTTGCGTGGACCGGTTTCTGGCATGCCGCAGCCCGGTGCCGGTCCACGGACTGGGGGTTGGGGATCCCTGCTTTACATGACAAGCCAGGAAACTTTTAAAAAGCTGGGAATTGTGGCCAGTTAGTCTAAATAAGCAAATTCATGGACTAGTAACATTTGTTTACCTATGGCTATCTTTTTATTTTTCGTTCTTTTTCACATGTAGTATTTCTGTTTTGGGATCTGCACTGTTGGAATTGAAAGGATGCATTTCACCACAATCCCAGAAATTTCTTCCTCTGCCTATTAGACATAGCTGCCAATCTTTATAGAACTAAAATTGTGTTAGTCTTTGGGGGCAAAAAATCAGGGAGCGCCTTTTCCGATGAACGCATTTTATTAAAGGGCAGAAGCTTTTGTGAGCTGCAACTCCCTTCATCAGATGCAACTTTTATTAATCTGCGTATGTCAGATGCTCCCCAACTCCTCCTGATTGTCTGCTAAACTTTACTGACATTGTGCTTCTTGTCCTTGCAGCCCTGGATCCCGCAAGCTCTGCCACAAGACTGCCAGCCCTCTGGAGAACATGCTCCAATCAAACCTTGAGGAGCAATCCTCTCCTGGATACAAAAGAGCCCCTGAGAGGATGACCTCATCAGGGAACCCATCCCAAATCTTATCCCCAATGCAGGCTTTCGTGCACTTCCCTGCCTTCAGGCCACAAGCTAATGGAGCCCCCCAGAGGCCGGGCCTCCAGGCACCACAGCTGTGTTCTCGCAATTACTGTGCTTCTGGTTCGCCACACGTGCCTCCTTCAGCCCCTGCCAAGCACTCTCCCTTCCTGGAAGGGCAGCAGCATCAAAATGGCTCTGATGCCTGCAGCCTTAGTGCTGCAGTGCTGCTGCCCCATGAGTTGCCCCCTCAAGATGCTGTGGGGCATCAGCCAGGCCCTATCGTGGAGAGGCAGCCCCAGAGGCTCACGCCCAAGGCTCCCTGCCCCAGCCAGCCCTCTCCTGGCTGCAGGACAGTCTCTGGTGCTCCAGCCTCACCGACAACTCCGGCCCTCTATAACGGGAGGTTGCAGAGTGAGCGAGATGAACTCGACCTAAAGGGCCTTCCCCACGGTCCCAACCCCAGCCCCTCTCTTGGGCCCTGCTCACTCAGCATCCAGCCCCCGGCACTCGGCTGTGGCATTGCTGACATGCAGGGCTCCCCGACTCCAGCCTTCCCCATTGCAACAGCCTACTACACAAGCATGGAAGGTAGTCCTGGCAGCCGGGAGCCCCCGCAGCCTCAGCAGCCTCCACTGCCTGAGAAACATCACCTGCTGGCCACCAGGACCTGGGAGAGGAACTCGCCACCTGGGCGTAGCCCAGGCTCTGCTCACCATGTCACCTTTGCCCCTGGGCTGCCTGATGGCAGTGCATCTGGCCCAGGTAATGTTCTCCAAGTAGGTGCTTGAGGTGCAGAGGGTGGAGGAAGACTTAGTTGTTGCCTTCAGGCCTTCGCTTTTATACTTTGAGTCTGCTTTCCTAGTGCTTCTGTTGGCTCAGACCCTTAATTTCAATGATAAAGGACCTACATATAAGACACTGAGATGATTCAGTCCTTTCTCCTTGGCTGTTTCAACTCTGTTGCTTCAGATGCTTGATAGAAACATTCCTGTGATTGATCCCTGTCTGTCTGTCTGTGTCTCTCTGTCTCTGTGTCTCTCTGTCTCTGTCTCTGTCTCTCTTTCTTTCTCTCCCTCTCTCCTCTCCCCTCTCTCCTCTCTTCTCTCTCCTCCCCCCCCCAATGGCTGATCTTGGAAAGCAAAGTAGGGTCAGATCCAGTTACCACTCAGGTGGGTGTCCACCAGGAAATCCTAGGTTATACTTTAAATTGGGAAGTCAAAGAAATTATTCTAGAAGATAGCAGTATGTCACTTCCATGCCTACTACAAAGTACATGGGTGGATGTGTCAGTAAGTAGCAGGACTCAAGCTGACTCAAAGGAGAGTCATTATTTTACAGTCCCATAAAATTACAATTTAATTATGCGAGCAAAACATTTCCAGCCCACTGTACCATTAGCTATCTAGCCCCCTCTAGCCTTCAGTAGCAAATATTACTGTGGATGTTCTAAGTCTATTAAACCTTTATGCTTGCCTGCATTTTGGAGAGGAAACTTCTGTTTTGCTTCTTTCAGATCTCCAGCAAGAGAACCCAGTTAGCGTCAAATTTGTCCAAGACACGTCAAAGTTCTGGTACAAGCCCCACTTGTCTCGGGACCAAGGTATGCAACTCCCAAACAATTTTGGCTGCTTTGTCTGTGATTTAACACAGTCAGTATTTGACATTTTCTTTCTAGGGCAGGAATAGTTCTTGACTTGGAGCAGCCAATCCCACATGCTTATACGCAGGCCGCCTCCATCTCCCTGTACAGAATGTTCCTGTTTTAAAAAAAGCACCACGGTCCAAGCTGGTGACCCCACTCCATGTGTTGCGCTGGTTGCAGATTTATGGGCAAGATGCAGTTTGCCTCCTGCAGTTCCAGTGGAAACATGCTTTTTTGCTTCCTTCACCTTAAGTCCCCTTTCCTTGCTAGTCTCCCATGTGCTGGATGGATCAGAGTACAGGGAATATTGCTAGGTCTGTAACTGGCTCAGTCGGTTCTTCGGTGATCATTGTTAAGAACTGCTGTTCATTATCCATGTAAGCAGTCATTGCCTAAAGCAGGGGTCCCCAACCCCCGGTCCATGGAGCGGCACCGGGTCGTGGCATGCCAGAAACCGGTCCGTGCAAACAAGCGAAGTCCCATCTGCAGGATGCAGGCAGCACACAAAATCACGCCCCCTCCAGTCCACAAAAAAAATCTCTCTCCATGGAACCGGTCCCTGGTGCCCAAAAGGTTGGGGACCTCTGGTCTAAATCCCTACCAGCTGATCTGTGCCAATTAATTAAGAATGCAACCACACTCTTCTTCACTTCAACATTCTGGATGGACCAACACAGTAACAATCGTATTGTGTATAGGTGATGGAGGTTAACCATGCATACGTATTCTATCATCTTCATGCCTCCATCTGTTCTGCACACAAACTCTTCTCTTTCTTTCTCTCAGTCCAACCTTCCTCCAGTGAGTCACAGGGCTTGTGTATAAGAATCTGAACCGCAAAGAGAAAGCCAGGCAACTATACAGTTTATCTGTTTCTTCCCCATTGCGTGACTATTCCATGCGCCTGTAGTTTTCAATGAAAGACTGCTAAGGCTGTTGGGCTTTTGCCTTGTAGCCGCATGAAACTTTTCATTTTTATCAGGCGATCTGATAAGCAAGATAAGACTACTGGCCATCTCAGTGCTGTTTCCAATTTCACCATCTTTCCCATTTTCTCATTTTTTGCAGCCATCATTCTCTCATTTTTCCACTGCCTCTTTAATGCCACGTTGCCAAGCATCCTTTTTCATAGGTCCCATTAGCATAACTCCATATTCTCCTCTGGCAACTCATAATATAATGCCATATAAGCAGCTTCCACATATTTACATCTACTTTCCATTTATTTTATAGGAAGATTAAATTATCATCTAATACAGAGGTCCTCAACCTTTTGGGCACCAGGGACCGGTTTCGTGGAGAGAGGTTTTTCCGTGGACTGGAGGGGGGCGTGGTTTTGTGTGCTGCCTGCACCCTGCGGATGGGGCTTTGCTTGTTTGTACGGACCAGTTACTGGCATGCTGCGGCCCAGTACCGGTCCACGGACCGGGGGTTGGGGACCCCTGATCTAATACTTCTTTTTTTAAAAAAGGACTCATTATTTCTCTTGCTATTGCCATTCTACATTTACTCTAACGTCTTTTACTTCCTTCCTTTTCTTTTAGGTCCATTCCCCCCACCCACGACTTCTTATCAGCCTTGTATGTTTGATTCATTCTCTGACATCATAAACAAATCAACTGTGCTTTAAAAACTCGAGGAGCATTCACATTCTGCAGCTACTTAATTTTAATATAATAGGTTTAGTTTTCATCCTGGCCTTGCCAGATTTTTGTTGAATGGCCCCTGACACCCCACCAGGGCCAGATGTAGCCCTCAGCCCAAGGACTGCTATGTTTGATATAGTTTTTCATCCAGCTCTAACAGAACTTTACCTTTCTGTATGCCAATTACTGACATCTTTTTTTATTTTTCTATTTCTTTCCTCTTTCTGAGCAGCCATTGCTCTCCTGAAGGACAAGGAACCTGGCACTTTCCTCATTCGGGACAGTAACTCCTTCCAGGGGGCCTATGGTTTGGCTTTGAAAGTGGCAACACCTCCACCCAACAGCATCAACCATTCCACCAAAGGTAAGGGGGGGAAACACTCTCCAGCATCTCTCCGCATCAGCCTTCAAAAATGAAATAGCTCAACTGCTTAGAGCTAAGTAGCCCTCTAGATATCTGGGCAACTTACACCTTCTGCTACCACTCATTGTTGGCCTGCCTAGCTAGGATTGCCTGGAGTTGTGGTTCAGCAACCTCTGAAGCCAAACTAGGACTTAGAACAGTGGTGGCGAACCTATGGCACGGGTGCCAGAGGCGGCACTCAGAGCCCTCTCTGTGGGCACGCGTGCCATTGCCCCAGTCCTAGGCCTTCAGCTGGGTTTTATAAAACCTTTTCGCTTTAGGCCTCCATCGCCGTGTGCAAAAAAAAAAAAGGTTCAATCAATCGGTCAATTTCAACTTCTCGCATGGAAAAAAAATCTTGCAAAGTTGGAATTGATTGATTGAACTTTTTAGTCCCACCCAGTCTGCCGTTACCACCGTAGCTACGCCCAGCCAATGGGCCACATCCACCCGGCACCCGACGGTGCATAAGTGGGTTTTGGGTTGCAGTTTGGGCACTCGGTCTCTAAAAGGTTCACCATCACTGACTTAGAACAATATTACTACCTTCCAATAATTTAGAACGATATGATGACCACCTTTCATAAAATCATCAGTCCTCTTAGTAGTTTATTGTCCGCTACACCTATTGAGGTGCTAGCTTTGAGAAATGCATTTGACAACTCTAAAAGTAAATACTATCAACACTAGGATGAAAGCAGCCTGGAAGTAAGGAGAAACTTCCTAACAGTGAGGACAGTTAACCAATGGAACGGCTTGCCTTCAGAAGTTGTGGGTGCTTCATCACTGGAGGTTTTAAAGAAGAGACTGGACAGTCACTTGTCTGATATGGTATAGGGTCTCCTGCTTGAGCAGGAGGTTGGACTAGAAGACCTCCAAGGTCCCTTCCAGCTCTATTCTGATTCTCCGCATAAAGTGCCCTGCCAGCATCAGGATGAACTCCACTTCAGCCTCTTCTTTGGGACCAGGCTGGATAGGAAACGTCGGGAGAAAGAGAACAGCCATCACTAACTGATGCCTTTTCCTATCTTAGGAGACCCCGCTGAGCAGCTGGTGCGCCATTTCTTGATCGAGACAGGACCCAAAGGGGTGAAGATCAAGGGTTGTAACAATGAACCCCATTTTGGTAGGTAACACTGGGGCTGGACCTTAAATGGAAAAGATTCTAGTGTGAGGGTTGTGCAGGATAAGACTAATGTCCAGCCCTCAGTCTATTCTGAAAAATGGTCAGTTCAGATTTATGATATGAGCAATCTTTGTCTATGTTTAGCCTGACAACCTCTTGGCTTGGAAAGGGAGGGAAGAGTGGGGAGGGAAATAGGAGATGTCAGAGAAATAATTGCTTGCTTCACCCATTCTTGGTTTAATGCCACCCACCAGTAGCATCAGCCCCACCCAATTATAAAGCCCAATTATAATCAAGTATAGCCCTGGATTAAAATAGCATAGCTCCCACCCTGGGAGCATCTTCTGAACAAATGAGTGACTCTTTTGGGAGGTTCCTTAATAAATTAGAATCCTTAGCACAGGAAGCTGATCACCAGTCAGGGTTAAGGGTGCTGTGTTGAGGGATGAATGATTAGGAAGACAGTATGGGAGACAAACCCTTGACTCAGCATGATTTTTGTGGTTGTTTTTCCTTTTACAGGCAGCCTGCCAGCATTGGTCTCCCAGCACTCCATCACGCCCCTCTCGTTGCCTTGCCAACTCCGCATCCCAAGCAAAGGTAGGCGGGCGGGAAGTTGCTCAGAACCCAGAGACTGGGAAGAGATGGAGGCAGATGAAATTAGTGGAAATAAATGCTAAAAGAAGAAATTACATGTGTTGGGGATCAGCCTCCCCCTTCAAGGTCCAACACAGTGGTCCCCAAGATGGCACTGGGACATCCATGTGCCCGCAGCCTCCCTCCTTGATGCCTCCAGATTTTTTAGCTCCATCTCCCTTGTACTGTACCTTAAACCAAGGGACTTTTAATTTTTTAAAAATGGGAATCTGGTCTGTTGCAAATGAAAATGCCAGCCGCCAACATATTTATTTTCCAAGAATGCCTCTGAGCAATTAATAGGCCCCACAAATATTCTTAGAAAATAAAATGATGGATGGGATTGCACAGCCTTGTGCAATGTTTACAAGTGTTCCTATTTACATAGAAAAAGGACAAATGTAAACAGGGGTTGTGGGGAGTCCTGTGTGGATGCCTGGGATGAAACAGCAAATAACTTTCAGGAAAATTGATGTTTTGTAATTGGTTAGATTCCTATAATGACCATTTTGTAAGAAGCAAATCTTCTCCACGGTCATCTTGCAGGATCACCCACTGCTTGTAATTCCTAATGTGTCCATAGCCAAAAATGATTGGGGGCTCCTTGTTCTAACAGCAAATGAGAATGAGTGAGGCATGACACAAGGGCCAACTGCCCAGCCAGTGTAGTTCTTTCACTTCTTGCTCTCCATAGTAATATTGTTTAGTGACATATAGAGCTGTAGTAACGCAGTGATTAGAATGCAGCACTGTAGGCTAACTTACTGCCCACTGCCAGGAGTTCAATTCTGAATGGCTCAAGGTTGACTCAGCCTTCCATTCTTCTGAGGTCAGTAAAATGAGGACCCAGATTGTTGGGGCAATAGGCTGACTCTCTAAACCACTCAGAAAGGGCTGTAAAGCACTGTGAAGCGGCATATAAGTCTAAGTGCTATTGCTATAGGCCAGCGGTTCTCAACCTATGGGTCGCGACCCCATTTGGGGTCGATCGACCATTTCACGGGGGTTGCCAAGCAAGGCTGTCCGCCATTTTTCCCCCCCTTTTCCAGCGGGTGCCTTACCTCCCTTGGGCTGGGCCAGCTGGTGGTCGGCCTGCTCCGTCTCTGCCGCTTGCCAGCTACGCCTCGGCCGGCACAGGGGGCGGAACCACGCATGCGCGGCGCTCTCGGGCAGGGAAAGTCCTCGACTTACGACTGGTTGGGTAGTCCTCGACTTATGACCGGTTTAGTCCTCGACTTACGACCGGTTTAGTCCTCGACTTACGACCGGTTGGGGGTCGCGGCATTAAAAAGGTTGAGAACCACTGCTATAGGCTACCCTGACAGGCCGATGTGGGCAAAATGTGGCACTCTGAATACTGCTGCAGGACAAGTGCACTAGTCCCAGTCTATATGGTGAGTGATAAGAGCTGCTCAGGGTTGACATTTACAAAATTCTGAGGAGCCCTAGGTTGCTTACCTCTGAGCAGAGCTATAAATCAGAGCAGCTTTATCATGGAAACTTCATCTAGAAGAAGTCGAGTGAGCAGAGGGACCAATTTTCGCCCAGAGGCATGCCCAATTCCTAGCCTAGCAAATGGTAATCTCAACAGATGGAAAGTACTGGGTCGATCAATATTTTTCAAACTTGGCAACTTTAAAACGTGTGGACTTCAATTCCCAGAATTCCTCAGGCAGCAAGCTGGGAGTTGAAGTCCACATCTCTTATAGTTGCCAAGTTTGAAAGACACTGCTGTAGAGGACACATATCGTATTGTTGTTGTTGTATTACTGTTCCACATTGTCTGACTTCTGCTTTTCAGATCTCACTGAGGAAAGACCAGAGCTGGCCGTTTCCACCAATATGAGCACTGCTGCTGACTTGCTGAAGCAGGGAGCAGGTAAGCACTGGGGGTGGGGGGAGAGAGACAAAGGGTAAGTGGCTGTGTGAACATTCAAGAGAGACAGCAGTGTTAAAAATATGAATGATGTAGCAGGAATCAATTTGTTCAGGCCAAATTAAGGAAACCTAATTTGTAGGCAGACAGTAGGATTAATTTACCTCATGTATTTATTTGATTTCTAACACAATTCTAGAATTTTAAGTCATTAATCAAGAGTCAGCCAAATTAAAGAAAAGCCACATTCTGTAATGTAAACGGATCGTGTAAATGTATTTTCCAATTATCTTGCTCGTGTTAGTCGCAAGGGAACAGGCAAAGAGCAATGCTCAGCACTAAATAAAATTTGGCGGGAAATCTTCTTCAATTTTCTTCAACTCTACCAGGGTAATCCCAGCTGGGGCAGCTGTTGAAGATGGGAAGAGATGCCAGAGCCACTTTAGTACCAATATATGGCAAGCTTTATGGCTATAATAGGGCAATTGCCAATGGGGGCATTGGGAAGCTCTTAACGCTCTGTGTAAGAGCTACAAACTCAAAGTAGGATGCAGTTTGGTGGAAAGAAATGGAGGGGAAAGGCCTTTTTTCTCTGACTGCTTATTTTTTCCTGTAGGCACACCCCTCCCTAGATGACTCTTTCCCCAAAAAACAAACATCTGATTCAGAGTTAAGTTTCAGACATTAAATAAGAGACCCCCTAAGAATCCACAGGATGCTTCCAATAAAAAAAGAAATCATGCCCATTGATTAGGCCCCTTCTTCGCATGAAGGTGGGGAGATACGGCAGGGCTAGGAATGAAAGATGACACCTTCTGACTCGTCCATATAATTCTGTAAACAGTCAGAGTCACTGCACATCAAAAACCTCGTGTGGATATAATTTAAGTCAGGGGTCCCCATCCTTTCTGGGTTGGCGGCCCAGTGGGAAAGGGAAGGGGCAGGCACCTTTATGCGCACGTGCGCACACACGCCAATGTGGCTGCGACACATGCGCACAAACGGGGCTGCAAGCATGTGCGCTCCGCAAATGGGGCTGCTAGTGCTGGTGCGAGGGTTGCAGCGAAGCTAACACCGGCATGATGGTCACGGCAAGGCTGGTGCCGCCGCAAGTGGGGGTGAGTGCATGCACCTGTGTGCGCGCACTGGCCAGCCACTCGCACGGCTCAGTGGCCAAGAGGGCCACGGCCCATAGGTTGGGGACCTCTGATCTAAGTGCATAGGAGCTTGGATAAACTGGAGATCCCTCGGGGGATCAGTAATTATTCTGGAAGGCCCTCTTGTTTTTTTTAAATCTAGTATTCTTTTCTTCGCTTTATTCCCAAATTGCAGCCTGCAGCGTGCTTTACCTGTGCTCTGTGGAAACAGAGTCCCTGACGGGGCCACAGGCTGTGGCAAAAGCGACCACCAGTACCTTGGCTGCTACTCCCCATGCTTCGGCCAGTATCGTTCATTTCAAGGTGTCAGCCCAAGGCATCACTCTCACAGACAACCAGAGGAAGTAAGTCTACCTGCCTCTCCTCCCAGGCACCATGGTACCCTTCCTTAAGCCTGACATATCCCATTCTCTTCCTCTTATACCAGAGAGAGTTAATTAAAGTGGACCATTTTATGTTTCTTTCTCTCACTTTGTTTTCCTGGACTGAGCTCATGTTTTGCTAACAAGCACTGCATTCAGTATCCAAGGTCATCTCTGGGCTTCTTACAGATGTTCACTGCTCACATGCCTTGTTCCTTAATTGTCTGGATATCCCTTTCTTCTCTTCCCTCTTCCTATTGCTGGCTTCTGCAAGCCTATGGATGAAGCTGTGGGGTGGTCTTCCCTAGTATTCAGGAAACTTTCTTTCTTCTCACAGGCTGTTTTTCCGGCGTCATTATCCAGTCAACACCGTTACCTTCTGCAGCACGGATCCTCAGGACCGCAGGTAACCAACCATCTTGGTTCTTGTGTAGCTTGCACCCTGCTTTTGTCCATGGAAATCCATGTCAGCCTAGACCAGCGGTTCTCAACCTATGGGTCGCGACCCCATTTGGGGTCGATCGACCATTTCACGGGGGTCGCCAAGCAAGGCTGTCCGCCATTTTTTTTGTCCATTTTTTCCCCTTTTCCGGCGGGTGCCTTACCTCCCTTGGGCTGGGCCAGCTGGTGATCGGCCTGCTCCGTCTCTGCTGCTTGCCAGCTACGCCTCGGTCGGTGCAGGGGGCGGAACCACGCATGCGCAGCGCTCCCGGGGAGGGAAAGTCCTCGACTTACGACTGGTTGGGTAGTCCTCGACTTACGACCGGTTTAGTCCTTGACGTACGACCGGTTTAGTCCTCGACGTACGACCGGTTGGGGGTCGCGGCATTAAAAAGGTTGAGAACCACTGGCCTAGACACTAGGGAATCTATGCTTAGCGGTACAGCATGTATACTATACTGTATGCAGAAAGAGCCAGGCTTAATCTTCTGCAACCCAAGGAAGATGCCTTGCAGAATTGCTAGCAGTCTCAGTAGGCATATAACAAATTTGTTGGACCAATTGCCTGATATCTTGTTAATGCAGCTCGCAATTCAGTGTCGATCCTATATCTCTGCTCAAAGTATGCTGTGATGGTGAACAGTGCTTGGCTTATGAGACCAGGATGTGTGTGGTAGTTTGTACAGTTGTAACTGTGAAGTTGCCTGTGTGGATTGCTCCTGGCCTTTAAGATGACGTTGGTAAACCATGGGCTGCGATCAGGGTGTGTTTCATTTCCTGAGGTTCTATGAGTTGGTCATCTGATTGTTTTCATTTGTACAACCAACTTTTCTTATTTGCACTATGACCACCATTATAAGGTGCATATTGTAAGAAAGGCGTGCAGTATTTTATAGTATAAGGATCCTTGGATGAAAAAGGGCTAGCTTGTGGGATCCTTGTCAATAACCTTTTGTTCTTCATAGGTAGAGATGTGTTGTTGAACATGACTTGCAGCTAAACTGCTATAAGCTCATTGTACTTAGAGGGTTACTTCTACTTTTCAACTTACTTTCGTTTCAAAGTATTGTGCATTATTTAATAAAAGAACCTTGCTTTGATTTTTTTTCCTGTTTCCTATCTTTGCTGTGATAACAGTTCCAAAAACACGATAGTTGTGCTGCTTCAGTGACAATAACATAATCTGGAGTTATATTATACCTCCTCCCTTTTAAATAGGGATAGGTACAAAATGAAAGCAAGAGTGCTCTGCAAACACATCTTGCATTTCTATTTTTTAAAGTGTATTAAATATTATGAGGTACGTATATACTTCATAAGTGTATGAAGCTATTCAATTCTCAATTCCTTGAAATTTCAGTAGGTGGAGATATTTGAACCAGGAGAAATATTTAAATCAAGAGAGATACTTAAACTAGGAGTGGAGAGCACATTTTCAGCTAATATTGGCTGAAACTTAAGGACTTGGGATCCCCATTGCAAATCCCCATTTCTGATTAACTTCTGTTGCTCTAATTACAGAGTGTCAATTTTCTTCCTTTTTACACAAAGTACAGTGTCTTTCTGTGAAGCAGCACTGCTCCTACAGTGTGTTTTGTGAGTCTGCTTTAGAGGCTACTGATTAGGGAAGAGCATTTGCTTAACCTGACTCTATGTTTAATTCTAGGTGGGCCAACACGGATGGCACTACAGCCAAGTAAGTAATGGAAAGACCAAAAGTCATGAAAGCATATGATAACAAGATCAAGTAAAGCATTAATTCCATATTAAAATATATAGTAGTGTGTTGATACATTGTATAATACAGCAGCCCCCAACCTTTTGGGCACCAGGGACCGGTTCCGTGGAGAGAGGTTTTTCCGTGGACCAGAGGGGATGTGGTTTTGTGTCCTGCCTGTATCTTGGGATGGGGGTTCGCTTGTTTGCACAGTCTGGTTTCTGACATACCATGGACCGGTGCTGATCCACAGACCGGTGATTGGGGACCCCTGGTATAATAGATTGACTTTTTAAATGTGGAAGACTTTGCTTGGATCAAATTTTAGTTTGAAATGTTGTGACACCGTTCTCTTACCAACATTTAAGTTCTATTTTTGTATGGTGACAACACTGAGTTTGTTTTCCCAACTGCTGACCAAAAGCCAGATGTTTATCCTTCACATCAAACACTGACGATTATTGTTAGTATCTATTTGAATCCTTTTGTCTATTGTTGGATTGGTGCCAGCTTCTTTTCCTAGAAACCATATCCCAAATATCTATTTTTTTTCTTTTTTCCCCTCAATGTGACTAATTTGTTCTTGCAGCTGGTTCATAAATTGTGATGTCTCCCATATTTCCTGGTATTAGACTTAACAAACACATTTGTGATTTCAGTTCAAGTGTTATGTTTAGAATTTTCTGAATATTTTGATCTATTATTTTCCAATATTTTTTAGTGTTTTTCCATAACCACCACATGTAATAAAATGTTCCTTCTTTGTGGTGTTTCACGTTTCCCTTCCTCCTCGAGTTAAAACTATGGCTTACTACATTCGGTGAACAGAACTAAGACAATCCCATGGGAACAGAGCAACACTTCTATAAGCAGCAAAATCCACAGGAATTCACTGCTTTTGTCAAACTGATGAAAGCGGTGTTGCACTGTTGTGCTACAAAGTCCACCCCTTTGAAACTGTATGTGATAATCAGAATGGTAACACCAGAGCTGGTATTACTATTATAATGCTATTGATGCCCGTCTGATAGCTTCCCTCTTCCTCCCCTGTTGTGAGTCACGGAGAAACAGAATTGTGCACCTGATCTTTGATCAGCATGGGATGAAAATCAAGGAGAGCAGAAGCCACAGCTACTACTGACATGTCCCATCTGTCTTTTGCAGGATCTTCGGCTTTGTGGCCAAGAAACAAGGCAACCCATGTGAGAATGTCTGCCATCTTTTTGCTGAGTTAGACCCTGAGCAACCAGCATCAGCCATCGTCAATTTCATCACCAAGGTTATGCTGGGCACTCACCGGAGATGAAGGCAGCTTGGCAATTGCTCCAGGCCTCTCATATGTCATTCCTTCCTCCCCACCTTAACTGCCTGTATGGGTGCCTATAATGTTTTGTGGCATCTCTGCAACATGGAAACAGGATGGCTAGCTCTACCGCGTGGCTCATAGCAGCCTTCTACTATCTCCATTTTAATCCATTGTCTTATTTCCACAACCCACTGATCCGGTACAGTGGGGAAAGGGCCCACTTGATCCCAACAGATCTAGTGTGACATTTTAACATTTCTCACTACCACAGAAAACACCCAGGAACAAAAGCTTTGACGAAGACTGCACAACTTACGGTAGTGTGCTAATTCTCCCATAAGCCTAGATTTTGTGACCCGATTATAGACAAATGCATTCTAAAGCATTTTCCAGGATGGGGGAAGCATTTTTGTACAGATGAAGAAGAGAGAGATTTCTCTAGCCAGGCCAAAGATCACACTAAATTTACTCTGAGGCACATTTAAGAACCACCACACTTCTGGTGGTAAGCATAGCTCTTTGCTGCAAAACCTATAGTGGTTTACACCACCTGAGAAAAAAGTATCTAGTGGCCTTTCCTTCTACAAACAGCATTGGTCTGGACAAGCATGCCGCTTTGAATGGAGAAACAGGGCACAGGAGGTCCAATCTTGTATCTCTCTCCAACAAGCAGGTTAGGCATGACCCTCTTTTATTAGTAAGGCATATGAAATCCTAAATTGTTTTCTTTCATTGGACAAAGTGGTGCCCAGCTTGGTATGAAGCAATGAATTATTCTTGGAATTATACAAACTCAGGTTCTAGCTGTAAAGTTGTATTTTGGATTCTCAAATGCATGGTCTTTTTTAAAAAACAGAAAGCTTCCCTCCGGTTTCTTAATTGATTGTTGGCCCTACTGATTTATTGGGTCTGAAAACCCCTATAATCCAATGCTGTTGTCTCTGAAGCCTGGAGTTAAGCTACTATTATTTTTTTAGTTGTCTTTACCCTTCAAGATACAACATGTTTTGGGTAAGCAATTGTGCTGCTGTTCAGTGCTGCTCTATGTGAATGTCTGACCTGGGATACAATTGGTGCAAGCTGCTACTGTAGTGTAATAACTCTTGAACTTGCGCCCGTGCTTGATTTTCATTTTGAATTGAGGTTGACTGGAAGGAGAAACCAATAGATACATCACGAATTCTTCAGTGTCGTGGAAATGGTGCCCAGGTTGGGGGACACAAAACTCACAAGTAGTCCAAGACTCCAAAAAAAAAAACCCTCACTAAGGATTGCATCTTATTTTATTTGTAATGCATGCAAACATTTTTCCCAGTTTAGTCTCTACATCGAAATGGCAAACTGATTGAAGAAAGAAACGCTTTAGGTTTCATACGTGAAAATACTGCCAACTCTGTAAGATGTACATACATTCCACTGTCTTATAGGGAGGTGAGAAGCTGAAACATAATATTTAAGAAATTGTTGATGCAAAATATCTCAACTGACAATAGACCTTAAATATCTTGGCCATTGAGTTTTGTAATGGAGAAACATGTGCAGCATTAGGCAATTGTATGTGATGAAGGGTAAGTGTTGGGCAGAGTTGATTCTCAATTCCCGAAGACCTTGTAGATACTGCTAAGACTAGAGCTACTCTGTAGGATTAAAGATATTGAGGGGAACAAGATGCATTGCTCCCATTTGGATTCAAAGCAGAAAGCAGCAGGAATCTAGAACTTAATAGGTCCAAGAAAGATTTGTAAAACTATTTGGATTTCACGGGAAATCATCTGGGCATCTTGTTGAGTTTGACTCTCTACTAGTTAGGGAGGGCTATATATCACATGCAGCTAGTTTCTCAAAGGTCAGTTAGCTGGCCCCTGAACAATATTTTTTGTTTCTGACTTAACCGATGCAGACATCTGCCTAGTTTAGAAACTCTCAAAATATACTAAGAAAATGGGCAGGTGATCAACGTTAATTTTAGCCGTTTTATAGCTCAAAATCCATTTTAATGACTCTCCCCAGGCTCTCACAATTCACTTTCTTACACAACTATTTAAAGAGTTTATCTTTGTATCTGGAGAGCGCACAGCAGACTATATCAGCTGTCACAGGATTAAGGCACAGGAGGAGATGAAGGGCTTACAAAACCTTGTTGTAACAGAAGCCCTATTTTAATTATTTCTGGTTTGAGTTTTTCACTCCAGAAGACCAGCCTGTGTATTTTCCTTCCGAACCAGACAACTAGAAGATTGCTTAAAAAAAAATAATCCAGTTCAGAATTGTATTCTTAATAAGCATAGTATATTAATTCCTCATGTGCTTAGGTGCAATCGGCTGAGCAAACCTCCCATTAAGACATGCCAACACAAGTACCAAGAAGGCACAGCAGCTGTGCTTGGTGAAGCAGCTCTGGTAAGGAAGCCAGAGATTCCCCCCACCAGCGTCTTCAAAATGGGTGATTGACAACAAAGGACATATCAGATGAGCTAGTGTAGAAAGTTCTGCTGCTCTAGAAATGTGCCTTCCAATCTTTGAAAGGGGGGGGGAGGGTTGGGTTTAGTACAGAGTTTTATTTTGTCTACTAAAGAATTTATATTGGAATGCTAGCAAGAGATGTCTTGATAATATATATGTATGTATATATATATTTGTGAAGTGGGAGGGAGGGCAGGGGAGAGAAAGCTGCAGCACTATGTTATTTTTTATATCTGTATTTTTATCTTCTGTACAAATGACCACCTCTTTTCCTCTTTATTCAAAATTAACATATCAGGAAAAGAAATTGGAGTGCCTTGTATTGGTTTTTTGGAAACGGGTCCTTGTGTGATGTGGTAGGAAATGAACACAACCGAGAGAATTAAGAGTATTAAGTTTCGGTAGGTAGAATTCCTTCAGGATTTTTTAATCTAGAATTCCAGTCATTTCAGACGAGGAAAGCATTTCTGCTTGTTTTAGAGGAGACATTATTGTGGCCTCACTTTTTATTTATTAAATTTATATGCCACCCACTTTACAGTCCAGCACTCGTGTTATACACTCGTGCGATTGATGGGTAGTGTTTCCAGAGTTGCTTCAGTTGTTTTACATTTCTTTGAAAAGAAAAATGTTCCCCCAGTGGTAGGAACCCTCAGTGCTGCTCCCCGTTTTTCAGTTTTATGTAGCCTATTTTTCAGCTATAATTTTTCATTAAAAAAGGTTCATCCAAAAGGTTCCATTTTAAATACATGTATTTTACACACTACTGCTATTGATTTCATAATGAGTGTATTTATAAGCCGCATATATGAATGTATTCAGGTAGGAATGGATTTCAAAATAACATTTTCCTACATCATCTGCATCAGAAAAGGCTAATGCTGCTTAAAGACAATGTATTAATTTTATCACTGTGGCATTATTGTGAACTTCCAATCCCTGCCATTTGAATGATCTTGCTGTACCTTTATTTTTAACCAGGTCACAGTGTTAATGACACTATCCCTCTCTAATGTTAAAAGTACTCCTTTAAAGCAGTTTTGTAGGAGCATAGGGTTAGTTTTTTAAAAGCTTTCTAGGCACTACCATTAACTACTTTATTAAAATGGCAATGATAGAAAAGTATTTCCCCCCCATTGTCTAGTGCAGGGGTAGGCCACCTTGGCTCTTTTATGACTCGTGGACTTCAACTCCCAGAATTCCTGAGCCAGCATGGCTCAGCTTGGAAACCTCTCCCTTTCCCCTCAGCATGGCTGGCTCAGGAATTCTGGGAGTTGAAGTCCACGAGTCATAAAAGAGCCAAGGTTGCCTACCCCTGGCCTAGTGGTTAAGGCACCAGGCTAGAAACCAGGAGACTGACCAGGAGACTGTGAGATCTAGTCCCACTTAGGCTTGACAGCCGGCTGGGTGACCTTGGGCCACTCACTCCCTCTCGGCCCAACTCACTTCACAGAGTGGTGGTTGTTGTGGGGGAAATAGCAGGAGGAAGGTGTGTTGGATATGTTCGCTGCCTTGAGTTATTTATAATAATAAAGGAGGAAAATATATACATACGTACTGCATGGTAGGGCACTCAAAACAATTTCATTTTGAGGGGGTTGAGGCTAGTTTAATGTTTAAAAATTACTTAGCTAGAAAATTATTTTAAGTTAAAAAATACACTTAAAAAAAACATAGGTGAGAAACAGAAAGCAGCAAAATACTACTAATGACACCAGTAACCTTTTCAGGTGGAAATGCCGACTTTATTAAGTGTATAAAGATTCTGGCTACAAAAAATGTGCAGCAGAAGCACCCAGAGTCTGAAGGGAAGAGAAGTCTGCTCAAGCCAGGCCTGCCGTGTAGAAGAACAAACTTCAGCGGGGTTTCTCAACCTTGGGAACGTTCAGATAGGTGGACTTCAACTCCCAGAACTCCTCAGGCTGGCTGGAGAATTCTGGGAGTTGAAGTCCACGTGTCTCAAAGTTCCCTACATTGAGAAAAAAAAAACTAAACTACACAACAGGACAGAGAGAGCAACGGCTTGGAGCAGCAATTGAGTCAACAGCAGCACATTTACAAGCTTGTGATGCCCCCCTTGCACACCAGCAACCCTGTAATGCTTGTGTTCTGCAGCCAGATGCCGGATCACTTCAAGCAGCAGATGGGGAGGAAACCACCATCCGCAAGCATGGATTACAATCTTCTCATAATTGCAAGAGGCAGGGAGGATTGTTGGCAAGCCATGAACACAGAAGGAAGAAGGCTAACTGTTGCTCCAGCTCTCCCAGCACATACAGAGCAGTATTGTCACAACAAAGCCAGGTCATTCACACCACCAGAGGGAGCCAACCCAAAAGATTTATTATTATTTTTTTAGGACTGTCTCTTCCTCTTCAATCCCCAATTCCCAGATTATCGTTTTAGCAGCAAGATTGCCCATGAAAATACAGGGGCAGAGAAGTTAAGAGAAGGTAGGACAGCCCGTGCCCTTTCTCCCGCGGCTCAAAGCAGCTGCTACTCTTTGGCTTCTCCTGTCATTGTTCGACCACATCTACATAACACAACATCCAGACAGGTTGTCACCCTTCCCATAGCCTCTGTTATTTCTGCAATGGGGTATGGCTGTGACAGAGCAAATACAATGCAGACAAGGGAGTGGCTGAAAAGAAGGGCAGGCCTACATACCTAAGGACCCAGTCCTCTTTTTAACTTCAGCAGAGAAGAATGAAGGGTGAAGGATGAACACTTTACAATCAAGTTACAGTACAGATTTCACATTCCAGCCTCTTCTCCATCAATACAGAGATATACAGCAGCATTGCACCCAGACCAGACCCTACCCTGGCACGACATATAGAAGAAATATTAGGGAGCTCTCAGAAGCTCAGAGTAAGAGGGAGATGGCAGAAAACTCCCTGCCTCCAATTTTGCCAATGACATCCCACCCACCCACCCACCCTCCCCGAGATTAGCTGAGTAGGACAGCAGAGAATTCATTACAATTCTAGTTAGACTTCATCTGTAAACTATGATTTGGGGGGAAAAAGTGCTGGATCTTGGCTTATCAAGTTAGGAAGTATAGTCCAAGAAAGAGTCTTCCCTGGCTTTCCATCATCCTCCCAAAACTCCTTGAAAAAAGAAAGCTGGATCCTGGGAGTTTCTAAACGCCAGCTTAGGTTAAACTAAGGAGCCCATAATTTATTTATTTTTTAAATGACATAGGGTTTTCCTGCACTGATGGGCTCAGGAGAAAAATATATCGGATAACGACTTTTGAGACTGGCTCTCGCTGGAGAATGAGGTGTCCAGTGTACCAGATAGAATAATGCAAATGGTTCATACCATTGGGCAAGAGGAGCTGATCTGTTCCATCTGCAATTTAATAATCCCCTTAGAGAAACAGGATCGTGGACACCCCAGAGTTGAATAAGGCTAGGCCGTATTCCGGTCTCTTTTGTCAACCATGTCAACTCGAGAGCTGTCCTGCCCTCAGAAACAGTAATTAATGGAACATTATGAGCAGAAAAGAGAGAGGGACTGTGTTCCAGGAACGAATCCCTGACCCGCCTGGAAATAAGAGCCTCAAAGAGTTTTCCAGTATTCAAACAGTTGCAATCAAGCAGGCAGGAAAGAGACAAGAAAAGTGGCTCAGGTGTTATTAGATAGACAAATATCTCTATATGGCCCCACGTCAAGAAGATCACCCCTGGAGGCAATGGCCGAAGTTGCAATGGAGAACAGCCGGGGCTATCCGGCAGCCTCCGGATGTATTCTCCAGCCCTTGATCTTTAGCCGCTGAGTGGATGCAGATCCACCTTGACCTTCTCCCCGCTGCTCAGCATCCCAATGGTGGGGTAAAAGCCCCCTGATGGCACCACCGCATCTTTCTTGCCAATAATCTTTCCGTTGCGGGTGAAGAACACCTGGTAGAGATAGGGGGGGAAAAAAACAAAAACAAAACAAGAGTTTTGACCCTGAGGGAATCTGTATTGGCTGGGTCAGATGTTGGATAAATCTAAAATCTGTCATATGAAAATGACTAAGAACTGTGAGTAAGACTCTTGGCATTAGATCGTAATTGACAGAAAGTGGTTTTTTTAAAAACAAAACAAAACAATAATACTGTTTTGAATTCGCGATATCCAAGCTGTCCAAAAGGAGCCCTTAATTCAGAGTATAGCCAATTCCAGTGTCCCTAAAATTCCAGCCAAATCTTTCCCATTCCGGTCACTGATGGGACACACCGTATGCCACTAAGCGGGGAAAGAGGATTGACGGACTGCCCCCACTCACATCCCGCCTGCCGTCTGAAATAGTTATGGCTGCTTCCAAGAAGACCGTCGCCTGTCCTGGAAAAGCTGTAAAGCTGTATCCAGGCAAAGCAGCTTCGGAGGAGAATCCCTTCCAGCCGGATTGCAGGCTAACGTCACAAGAAGCAGCCGGTGTCTATCAAAAGGCTGCGGATGTGACATTGCCGGACCAGATCGAAAGGGTTCAAATTCTGAACTTTCACAACGAGGCCCTATGACGCATCCTGGACATGGACGTTAAAAGCACCGAGAGGAGGACGCCAATGGGCGCAGCACGAAGGATCAAGAGAACCATATGCTGAAAAGAAAGTTCATGTGTGGACGCCAGTACATAAAAACAGTTTCTCATGACTCATGCTTGATGAAGTCTCACAAGCAGAACTCTTGAGAAAAGGAGCTTAAATTCTTCAACTGCCTTCTGTGACCTTAAATAGTGTTCTGCATTTTAAGGCAATCCATTAAGGGTAGTTTATGTTTGTCAGCAACTGTAAGTCAAGAGAAAACATGTCCTAGCAGTAAAATACTGCTTTTTCTTTTTCTTTTCTTTTTTTTTTAATATCCCACATCAGGTACTGCTACATATTTATGGTTGTAGCCCTAAGGGCTAGGAGGAAAAATGAAACACACAAAATACTCGGAGAAGCTGCGTTCCAAGAGTAATAACAATTCCTGCATTTGAAATGAAGTCCCAGTGGTAAACCGAGTCCCAATTGCGATCAAGCAGTATCTGCTAACACTTTTTAATCTTGCTCGTAGGATCCCTCGCCTAAGAGAAGACCAGCAGCCCAAATGACTTGCCCTCTTCAGCCACAATTATTCCAACCAAGCAGACGGTTTTAGCTAGGAGAAGCACTGCAGCCCCTGATGCTCTAGCTTGGGCAGAAGCCCCCAAGCCTCATTCTATACTTGTGTGTTAACCCGTTCTTCTGGCACTTACCACTACTTTCTTGCCCTCGTGTTCCTGTTCCACGTCTTCCCCATCTTCTTCTTCATCCTCATCCTCCTCTGCCTCCTGATGCAGATATAAGACATTCCTCACTCCCCGTGGCTTGGCTCGGATAGCCACCGTATCACAGCTGTCATCACTGTCACCTACAAGGGCACCCCAAATCCCATGTGACTCTTGCAGATTTCAGATTCCCGCCGTAGAAATGAAACTATGATTCATTGACCTGTTATTTCTGTTGAGCATCTGCGGGCCTTCGCTTTCCCAGCGTCGTAACAGCTGTGCAGAATTTTTGTTACTTCTGCCCTCCCCCCATCCCTGTTTTATTTCCTTTGACTTTCCTGCCCAAGCACTCTGCTTCAGTATGAAGCACGCAAGACAGCATGGCAGCAGCCATCTTTCCTGCATCAGGGGAGGGTCACTCTCAGTTGGTTTTTGTCAGTCTCCAGTACAAGCCAGTCAACAATCTGGACTGTAGGGGCAGTCTTGTAAGCAAGGTACAATCAAACCGCAGGGGAAATAGCAGCAGCTTCATGATTCCAGAAATAAGAAAATCGCACCGCTAGAGTTTAGGGGCAGCCTGAAGTTTTACAAAGCTGCACTCCTATTGTGACCACAAATCAATTTGATTCAGGTTTGTAAATTATCTAGTTGTCTTGCCATTTGTGATGGCTAATAACTGCCTGCATATATTTTTTAAGAGAGAGAGAGCAATAGTGGAAATAGTAGTATTTTCGTTCTGCACCAACCTTTCCAAAGAGCTTAGGCCAGTGGTTCTCAACCTTTTTAATGCCGCGACCCCAACCGGTCGTAAGTCGAGGACTAAACCGATCGTAAGTCGAGGACTAAAACGGTCGTATGTCGAGGACTACCCAACCGGTCGTAAGTCAAGGACTTTCCCTGCCCGGGAGCACCGCACATGCGTGGTTCCGCCCCCTGCGCCGGCCGAGGCGTAGCTGGCAAGCGGCAGAGACGGAGCAGGCCGACCACCAGCTGGCCCAGCCCAAGGGAGGTAAGGCAGCCGCCGAAAAAGGGGGGAAAAATGGCGGACAAAAAAAATGGCGGACAGCCTTGTTTGGCGACCCCCATGAAATGGTTGATCGACCCCAAATGGGGTCCCGACCCACAGGTTGAGAACCACTGGCTTAGGCCAACGTACATTACAATTTAAATACCTTAAAGGAGAACAGATTCCAATCAACATGAAATTCATCTTAGAGGCGTCTAAATAACTAAATATTGCTAAACGCCAGGCTGAAAGGAAGGCTTGCTGGATCATGTCTAAAGAAGGCAATTCCCCTGGTATTTACAGGAGGGGCTTTCACAACCTCTCTAGAGGTAAGGACTGAGAAAAGCCAGTTCCAAATCACCACCAAAAGACTGAATGGCACCCAAAGATGGACCTGCTTTTCCTCAAATTGTACTCACGGCTTTCCAATTCGTCTAAGATAAGCAAAAGTAACTTCTTCGGGATTGTACCTGGATGAGAAGATTTTCTCTACAGTCCAATTGACAAACTTATCTGAGGGTGTCCCACCTGATACAATTACACAGGACAGCCAATCCCAAGCCACCAGTCCATCTGCGCACCCCTTTTTATAACCATGGGGTCAGCAATACCTCCTTCCAATGAAACAGATTCAGCAGAGAGGCAGCAAGCTGCTAACCCCATTGTAACATGGTCTACAGAAAATTGCCGTCTAATTCTATTCTACACCTGCAACCTGTCACTCTAGAAACACCTGATATATCAGTGATGGCGAACCTTTTAGAGTGCCCAAACTGCAACCCAAAACTCACATATTTATTGCAAAGTGCCAGGACCGCATCAGCATTGTGGTGCTCTCAGGGGGAGCGGGGTGTGTGGCCCACTGGGTGGGCATGTTTCAACATAGCTGCGGTGGTCACGGCAGACTGGGTGGGTGTGGCTAGGGTGGGTGGACCAGAACCAGGGTGGCAGGGACCAGTCCCTTGCCATCTCCGGGGCATCCCCGGGGGGCCAATGCCACTTGCTCGCTCACTTCCTGCCCCATTGCTTCCAAACACCACATGCTCGCTACCCTGGCAAACTCTGCTGGGGCAACGGCATGCGTGCCCACAGAGAGGGCTCCGAGTGCCACCTCTGGCACACGTGCCATAGGTTCGCCACCACTGTGCTATATTATTATTTCTTGATTCCTTTAACTAGCATAATGTCCTCCAAATACTCACCCTCACTATCAAGGATGTAGTCACGTGGAAACATGATTCCACAACCCATAATATCTCCTTTATAGCAACGGGGGCCAAAGGGGTCCCCCACTCCACTTCCATGGAAGATTTTGCCATCATCTGTAAAAAAGAGAAAAGGGACACTCATCAGCATGTGAAGTTTCTGGATCTTAATTTGCCTTCAAATAATACTGGCAAATAAAAGAAGCTGCTAGAAATGTTAGGGAGTTCCAAGCCCGATTATAGAAATATCAGGCTAAGGTACAGTTAACCAAGCACCACCTCAGTCATCATGCAGGGATAGAAAGGATTACTGAGAATTTGGCACAGGACAAATTCTGTGCTGTTTGGTGAAATTAGGGATTCTAGGAATTGCCCGATCCCTTTTACTCGACTGGCCCAGGAACAGCACTATTTTTCTAGGTCTGGTGATTCCAAAGCCATAAAGAAACAGGACAGTACAAACACCAAAATGCACCATTTAAAAGATGTAAAAAAAAATAAATCTCCAACTAAGCAAGTGGGGGCTTATTGGGAGAGGCGCAACAGAGCATTGTTCTACCTCTTTTTTCATCTGACAGGAAATCCTTGGAGCTAGGCTCAAAGCCACTGAAACTAAACTTGAATGTAAAGGCAAGCCACTAGCAGTCGGGAATGTTGTGTAGGTGAATGCTTGGGACATCTGTACTGGCAAGTAGAGAGACTTCCTCACCCAACCTGGAAATTAAGAAGGCTGCTAGTGAAGAGATGCCTTTCCTTCTTCAACAAATAGAAAGGAAACGGGCCGAAGACAGCTGTAGGGAGGAAGATCACTCTAATTTCCCTTGCCAACCCCACCCCCCCTACAATTAACGATTTTTGCAAGCAAAGAACTGTTTTATGGGTTTATTTGCAAATATGATCACTCCTGGATTACCAGGTCTTCAGCCTGTCATTCTTGACTATGCTCACACCACAGAAAGTTCCCAAAATAAACAGAATTTCTCAATTCAGTTACCACCGTTGTACATTCATTTCCCCAATTCACTACCCTCCAGAGGTCTAGGAGTACAATTCTCAGACTGCTGTAGTCAGATAGCTGAAGGGTGAACGCCACGTATCTGAAGGACAGTAAGTTAGGGAGAAGTACCTAATACCCCAGAGGAAAGCTGTCAAAAATAGAAGACAATTGCTACTGGAACGCCACAATAAACTCCGAATCTTGCTTTATGAACAGCTCTGATTTCAAGCAGGCCTCCTTTGGCAAGATGCCTACCCAGCATTCAAAGTTGACAAAGTTTCCCGTAGTGCCTATTTACCAGTATGGTCCCTCCAGGGCTAAACAAATTGGTCCAGCCAATCAGGCACTCCGCTGGGACAGGCCAACCAGAGGAGAAAAAAAACCAAAACCATACGCTTTGTGCCACCCGTGATCAAAGCCAGACAACGCTGAAACCCAAGAGGCCAAGGAGAACAAAAGGAGAAAGGAAGGGAGAGGTGGAGCAGAGACCACTTGAAAGGCCTTGGTGCTTTTATTCTCCCCGACTTCAGCTATGCAGCGGATGCGGGTGCCCAGAACACAAGGCATGGGGCCAAGACCCTTTGTCTTCATGAAAGAGGGAGGTTTGCTTGGCAAACGGGCGGTAAATATTTCCCCCTGCTGCCAAGGAAACTTTGAGAATAATCTTGTGCAAACATTCCAGAACGTGTCTCAAATAATGAAGGCTGGCCAGCCTTTTAGGGAATCCCCCTCGGCTCAGTAAAACGTAAGAAGGAAGATCAAGAGGACAGCAGCCGATGAGAGAAAAACAGACCTGTGGTTGGGAAAGGGCAAAGGGGACCAGCTCTAGCAGGTTACGGTCAACGGAAGGCTAATGCACTACCTTTCTCTGTAGCTGGGCCTTCAAGCGGAGTTGTGCCAAAGTGGCCTGTTGGGAGTGATCCTGCTTAGAATGTCCCATTTTCTCAGAGGGGCTGACCCACAAGTGCTTGAGTGTGATTTTACACCTCTCTGGAAGTGGGTTACTTAGAACCAAAGTGATTCTTGGTGTCCTGGCTCCAAAAAGTGGGGGAGAACGAGCATCCTGAAGCCAAACGGTTCCAACCTAAACAGTGTCGGACATTCCTAAATCCTCCATAAATCCTCCCTGGGCAAAGCCATTCAGCGTCTTACTCTAAAAGGGAGATCAAAAGTTGGCCCAGGCTTTGGAAAGTAAGCAAGCTTAATGGAAAGGCTAAAATGATTTTCCTTGGCTACAATTAAATCAAGGGCAGTTATTCTCAATGTATTTAACTTTTTTCCCCCTCTGTCACGTTAAAAATTATAATTTGGTGGCAACTTTTGCAAGACTTTCAGAAGCTGGAGGTTGACCTTGGGGCCTCATGGTGCTCCCGTTCCAGAATTAAGAAAAACAGTTCACTCAGGAATGTACTTCTACATAGATCTAAGTGAACTGTTTTTTACCCTATTAGAAGAGGACACAGGTTAGCCACAAACTGCTGTTTTCTGGGGCCGGCTTCAATTCTTTTGCTCTCATTGTGAAGTTCTTAAGAAGGAGGAGAGCCTTTGCATCTTGGGAGAAAGGAATCTTTCATTGTTGTTGTGTGAGGCAGCTAAGATGGCTGCCTAGAATGAGTTAGTGGCTCTCAAATCTTCATCTTTTTTCATTATTTCTAGAAGAGCTGGAGGGCAGAAAGCCCGTCTGTTTTAAATGTCCCCCAGGACACAGCTACCTCATTGATTGTCTGTATGATGTGTCTTTTGCATCCAAAAGTTGAAAAACTATTCAACCCAAGATTATACCAGTAGCCCTCGATTTACAACCATAACTGAGCCCAAAAGTTCCATTGCTAAGCAAGGCAGGTGTTAAGTGAGCTTTGCCCCATTTTACGGCCCGTTTTGCCACCGTTGATAAGGCAAGCGAACCATTGCAGTCGTTAAAGCAGTGGTTCTCAACCTTTTTAATGCCGTGACCCCAACCGGTTGTAAGTTGAGGACTAAACCGGTCGTAAGTCGAGGACTAAACCGGTCGTACGTCAAGGACTACCCAACCGGTTGTAAGTCGAGGACTTTCCCTGCCTGGGAGCGCTGCGCATGCGTGGTTCCGCCCCCTGCACCGGCCGAGGCATAGCTGGCAAGCGGCAGAGACGGAGCAGGCCAACCACCAGCTGGCCCAGCCCAAGGGAGGTAAGGCACCCGCCGGAAAAGGGGAAAAAATGGCGGACAGCCTTGCTTGGCGACCCCCGTGAAATGGTCGATCGACCCCAAATGGGGTCCTGACCCACAGGTTGAGAACCACTGCGTTAAAGGAATCATGCAGTCATTAAGAGAATCTGGCTTCCTCCATTGACTTTGCTTGTCACAAGCTGGCTGGGAAGGTTACAAATGGTGATCACATGACCCCCACTGTCATAAATACATGCCTGTTGCTAGGCCGCCAAATTTTGATCACATGACCGTTGGGATGCTGCAGTGGCCTTAAGTGTGAAAAAAAAGTCAGCTTTTTTCAGTGCTGCTGTAACTTCAAATGAATGGTTGATAAGTTGAGGACTACCTGTACAGAAAACATCAGCGGCCCACCCTCAACAGAATGCAACAGCTAAAAAATCGGAGATATTTTCTAACTTTTATGGGGCAAAAACAAAAAACCAAACACCCATACCCAGATCCAGATGAGGCAACTGACTATAAGCCGATATCTAAAGGACAGATTTTTAGTAACAGATCCCAACATGTAAGACGAGATTTGCTAGGTATATTGACAGCTGGCCAAATCACTCCATGCTAATCTGTTTTGGCTTCTTTCTAACAGTGACTTTTGGCATTATTGGTAAGGAGAACTGCATATAGGAACCGTTGGATCTTGTTCTTATAAGCATCCCAAATATGCTGAATTATGAGGTTTTGAATTTCACTGTTAGTTTCTGATCTTTAAGCCTGAAAATATAACCACAGGATCTGTTGAGATCCCAGCAGCCAAGAAGGAAAGAATGAATCATTGATAAGCAGCTGAAGATTTAACTTCCCCCACAGTTATTCTATTCTTTCCCAAATTATCTAATCTATTCTTTTGGGGGTAAGCTAAATTGTTTGCCAGGTACCTAATTATTTTCTCTCCCAAGTAGTCAGAAGCGTAGTGCAGACAAATTGCTTAACCACAATTTGTTGGCTTCATCCTAGCTGAGAGCCCACACAAATTATGAAACTATATTTACCTTCTCAGATCTCCCCCAGGTATATCAGATTTCATCAATTCTCAGTTGGTTAAGCATGGGTGAACATATAGAAAGAAATTTTTGTGAGATTACTAGTGAGAATCGCTATTTTTAACCATGGTTTGCTAATGCAGACTTAATTGTTGTTTCTGAAAATGAGGCAGACTCCATTTCACTACCTAATTATAGGACTTTGGTTTTAGTGAGGAATCATTTTTGCTTATCATTATGCTGATGGTTGCCCAGCAGCTAAGTGCAAAACTAAGCATGAGTATCTCTATTATATGATGTACAAAATGCCAAACTAAAAAATGAAACATTTGTGTCAGCATGACAAATTATGATATTGGAGTCTTGGAAACCACTAGCTGTGCTGAAGCCAGATCATGTATGAATCTAAAACAAAATGGAAATAGGGAAAGAAGGATCAAAAGAATAGAAGGATCAAATAGAAGTAAGTGGTGGGTTATCACAAGGCTCCGTCTTAAGCCCAGTACTCTTCAATATCTTCATTAATGACTTAGATGAGAGAATTGAAGGGGAACTCATCAAATTTGCAGATGACACTAAACTGGCAGGAGTAGCCAACACCCAGACGACAAGCTCAGGATCCAAAAAGATCTTGACAGACTTGAACAATGGGCCCTATCCAACAAAATGAGTTTCAATGTGGAGAAAAGCAAAGTTTTACATTTAGGCAGGAAAAATAAAAAATATAAGTACAGATTAGGTGAGACCTGGCTCAGAAACAGTAACTGTGAGAGGGACCTTGGAGTCCTAGTGGACGATCACTTGACTATGGGCCAGCAATGTGCAGCAGCAGCCAAAAAAGCTAATACAATCCCGGGTTGCATAAATAGAACGATAGAATCAAGATCACGCGAAGTATTAGTACCGCTTTATAAAACCCTAGTGAGACCACACCTGGAATACTGCAACCAATTTTGGTCACCATACTACAAAAAAAGGTGTTGAGACCTTGGAAAAAATTCAGAGAAGAGCAACTAAGATGATCAAAGGCTTGGAGACTAAAATATATGAAGAACGGCTGCAGGACTTGGGTTTGGCTAGTCTAAAGAAAAGAAGAAACAGGGGCGACATGATAGCACTACTCCAGTATTTGAGGGGCTGCCACAAAGAAGAGGGCGTCAAACTATTCTCTAAAGCACCAGAGGGGCTGTAAACTGACCAAAGAGGGAAGCAACCTGGAATTAAGGAGAAACTTCCTAATGGTGAGGACAATTAACCAGTGGAATAGCTTGCCTTCAGAAATCGTAAGCGTTCCATCACTGGAGGTTTTTAAGAACAGACTGGACAGTCACTTGTCTGAGATGGTATAGGTTTTCCTGCTTGAGCGGGGGGCTGGACTAGAAGATCTCCAAGGTCCCTTCCAGCTCTATTCTATTCTAAATGTTAAACTCTTTTCAGGAATTCCCCAGAAGACAATGAAGAAGCTGAGGAATGATAGGTAACTAGAAATAGATTCTTCGCCATTACCGGAATTGATACTACAGGGAACTAAGACATAGCTTCAGTTCACAAGAGGCAGTATCTATGGTTGGCTGTGTCTTCTATTTTAATAAGAGGAGTCAGACGTGAACTGTTGGGCTCTTGGTGTTCTCTAAATATGGATTCTTACATAGCTAGAATACCAATCAATCATGAGATGGAGATAACCAGCAGAAACCTCAAAGTCTCTAGAATAAAAAAAAAACTTAAATCAGCCTATGAGAAATGCTAGCTAATAACTTCCATGAGTGGATAGGTAAGAAGATAATGAACTGGCCAGCAATTCTTCTCTCTTAGAAGAACTATCAAGAAATTATAGCGGAAAATATTATTTTAGAGGAGATATTATTCCTTTCCCATGTCCAGTAAGGAGGCTTTTTTAGATGATGCTTATTTTGTCTTCATTTTGAACAAATGATATCCAACAAATTCAACATTTGCTGTTCTAGTCTGGCATCTATTCATACTAGTCAGAGGTGCTTAAATGATTAACTGCCCTAGCAAATTAGCTAATTATGCTGTATCTTATTCAAACAATCAAGACCAAAAGAAGCTCAGAGTAATACTCAGAAGTTGCTGCAAAGTGACAAGGCTCCATTTTGCTATCCACTCTGTAGAAAAATCACTCCAGATTTGGAATCAAAATCTTTTAACGTTATCCACTGAAAACAGAGAAAAAACAATTCCAACATATAAAAAAAAAATTCAGCATACTCCCATTTTCATCTTTCAGATGTCAGAGAGCAACTGAGGATAGATTATCAAACCTCTGACCTCTGCTCAATCCCCCATCCGTTCCCACTGCCAAACCTAACAGTTTCATCCAAGTGTTGATAATGTATTTTCTTTTTTTTTCTCAGAGGGATAAATTACTTTTTATTTAATAAACTCACACATATTAGATTTTAATTCCAACAGGCTAGCTTTAAAAATAAACGTTCAACAACTCTAAGAAGCTCCAATGTTCAAAAGCCATGCTAGGGCGCCCTGTGGTACACAGAAAACAGCATTAAACTTTCACATCCTGGATCTATCTGGAAACTGATCCCAGGACCATCTCCCCACACACACACCCCCACCCTTAGCTCATCTGCAATGCAAAATATAATGTTCACATATTATTTGAGAAGTTACAAGACTGTTAAAAGCTATAGACCGTAACTGAAGGAATTCTCATCTGACTAGGCTATTTTCATCTTCATACGCCTTCCACACAAGAGGCTCTCTGTTTCAGAAAATATATTGAAAGGTGATGTAACATTTCAAATTGCCGCAACTGTCCTGTTTTTGCTGTTTAACTTCTGTTAAGTTGTTAGACAATGGACATCTCCAGGGTAGCCTTTTTAGAGGAAAGCAAATACAGCGAAATCAAGGTAACGTAGAATTCGGCCAAAGCTGGGTCTTGGATACTCACCTGCGTGGTACGCTACAGACCCTCTGCTCCAGCCAGGATGCCGGTTTTTGGGGTAATCCTAGGGCAAAGAAGAAATACAGCCAGTCGCACATCATCACATTTCTTTTGGCAAAAAACGCCCCAGAGAAAATACGTTTCCATTACGGGCATGATTGAACAAACAAGCATGTACCTCTTTAGTGAAAGCTCTCACTTCCACTGCGGACCTTTTATATACATATATAAACCAGGGGTGTCAAACTGCCGGCCCACTGGCTGGATGCATCATGGCAAAACCGCACCCACCCCTTTGCCAGCAATGGGAAAAAATGTCACGATACGCCGCGATGCGTCAAGTGACATTACGAGTTTGACACCCCTGGTTTAAACCATAAGCAGTGGCAGAAGGAAAGGGAGGGGAGCCTTCCTAGGAACTGCTCAAACTCTCACATGGGAGATCAACTGATATTTTCTGAATTTTCCCAGAGCTTAGCAACTACGAGACACCGCTGCTCGAATTAGGCTAGCTAAAAGAGCAACAGAAGAATATGGCAGGATTAAGAAAAACTAACTATGGGGGGAAAAATTAATATAGACTTTATTTCTAGGTGCCACACCTCCTTCCTTTAATTTAAACATTATTTGTGACTATATTGTTTATCTACCTCATTTCTGGAATCTTGGTTGATACAAAAAAGGAGAGTTTTTGCAGTCAAAGGTTAAGCCTTCCACGGCTCAGGCCACACACCCAGAGACGAAAGTCCTTGCTCAGCTGAGGATGCACTTTATACTGGTTTGTCTCTTTGCTAGTTTTAGGGCTAGTTTTAGAGATCTCTGAAAGCTGAATCATGGAAACTGGACTTATTTTCTTGCTCGTTTGAGACATTTCACCACTCAACCAAGCAGCTTCTTCAGCCCGAGCACATTGGTTAGAGAAATCTGAGTAAGCAGAGAGTCGTTGGAATGTACCAACTAGCATAGATGATGCCTCTGTCTATTACTTTTTTTTTGCAGCCCTATTCATATTCCTATATCAAACCTCAGGGTTTCTTCCCAGAGCGTATGGCAATATTATCACCTACTCAGTTTTTCCTAACCAGCTTGCAAATTACCAAAGCATGTACGTAGAAGCCATATTTGACCATCACGAGCCGCTAACTATTGTTGACTGGATCTGGGGAAGACTTGCAGTCAAGCACAGCAAGAAAGCATCTGGGGGAAGCAAATTCTGTTGCTTTGTACCCACAAAAGTCAACATGCAAGCATTCTAAAGAAAGTCACAAATGGCTATGTATATATTGGTGCCATTACAATTAGCACAGAAGTGTTATCAAACAAGGCCCTGACTTTTCCTTTTTCCAGAAGAGATTGTGTGCATTAGTCTGGTTTGCAGCTATCACACGATTACACTAGTACTATTACTACGCTCACCTCCTGTAGTCTCCAAGGCAAAATGCAGGAGGTTAATTTTAAAGCCAGGATGGCTTAAACAGCCTATCTCCACAGAAATCAATTACACTGCATCCACACTGGATGAGTCTCATACCCTATTTCTCCACATCTTGCCTCTCTTAAAGCAAGGGTAGAGAATCTAGTCCTCTGAACATTTCCTGACTGCAATTCTTATCAATATTAACGGCCATGCGGGCTGGAACTGATGGGAATTTGAGCACAACGACCTTCATCCATTCTGTCTCAAGATGTGGAGTGGCAGCAGTTGGAAGCAGACAAATATGTAAATGGTTACACAGATTTTATTTTTTTTTATGGGATGATTTAGATTTTTCATTTTGTGTCAGGACACACTAACACGCCATGAAAATGAGTCCAGATGTTTTCATATTTCATTCACAGAAGAGGGAATCTGGTATTCTTGTATGATTTACTTGTCTGGTCTGACAAATTCTACTTCATTTCTGAATTTCCAGCACCATTCGGCATCAATCATGATACAGACATACTGATTAAGTTCAAGGATGCAACCCAATTTTAGTTTGTCCTCACTATCAGAATTTTATCTAGATCACTTATCTAGATCACATTCATGTAGTTACCTTGGCCACCAAAGAGAAGTGGTTGGCAACTGTCTTCTTTGAGAATGTTCAAATTCCCCAATCTAATCTAAAATGCTGGGATTTCCTAACAATCTGCTATTCAAGAACAGTACTAACCAAATTCAATTCTCTCACTAGATATTAAGCTTGACTTGAAGGTTTTCTTCATTACTATCTAAGTCAAAAGTTTTTGCATACTCTTTTTCTGCTTTCTTTTCCTCGTGATGGCTAAGACTCACTATGGCTGTTCCTGGTTTCCTTATAAACTGAAGCAGGATTCCCAAAAAATCAGCTCCTGGTTATATCCAGGCTCCCTTGCCTGCCCCTCATCCTGCCCTTACGTATGCACAGAGAGATGACACCAGATGTACAAATGCCAGATCATTTCAGGGCAAGTTATTCTCCAGTGAATCAAGAACTCAAGGGAGAGTGAAAGGATGTTGATCCAGTTCTTTCTTTTTTGGATCTCCCATGACTGCTGAGATTTGCTTGTTGTAGCAAGAGGAGGAGGGAACGAACTGGCTCGGTATCAGAAGCCACATGAATCCAGGCTATGCATAGAGGCAAACAACAGAACCAGATGGCTGCATCGGACAAGAAAGGAAGAGGGACAGGCGCCAATCCAGCCCCAATATGCAGTGCAGCCTGGTTCTAATTTATTTATTGGCATTTGCCAGTAACGAGAGAGCCTAACTTAGCCAATCCAAAGCAGAGGATGTTGTGCAGGACAAAGAGGCATCAATGAGTTGATCAATGATGGTGCAGACATTTGCTAAGGGTTATCCTGATCTCTCTAGATGTCATATTTTTGCTCTGGTGAAAGTCTGAAGGAAGTGGAAGAGCAGCAGCTAACTCAAGGGCCTCGGTTTTGCAGGCAGAACTTTGTAGGTTGACATAAGCAAAAGTCAAGAGGAAAGAAACTGACTTCCTGGCGACATGGCTGCAACGTTGAACACTCTCCATGGCTCACTTTAAAACTACAATAATGCCTAAACAGGACAGATGGCACATTTGGAATGTCTTCCCTTGTTGAATTGCATTTCATTAATCAAGGCTTCAAGTTGAACTTGAGTTTTGAAACAATCTCTCCTTCCACCTGCCTATCCCCATCCCCTATCTTTGAGCTGAAAGGGGCCAGTTAGACCCGTGAGTTCAACCCTTGTTCGGAGAAGGGATCCAAATGAAAGCATCATCGAGAGATGAACATCCAGCCTCAGCTTGAACGTATCCAGGGAAGGAGAGCCCACCACCTCTCTAAGGAACTCATTGGGGTTTAAGGGGAAATTAAAGGAAATTTGAGGTGCCATGCCTGAAGAAACAGAGAGAGGAGATTTTAGCTTTCTACTGTCATTTTGCAGGACACATTGGCAAGAGTTAAAGGAGAGTTGTGGAAGAAACGGACGAATGAAACAGAAGTTCACACAAAAGGCAGGTCTTGGGGGAAATGGCTATGGCATAGCTTCATTACAAAAGCTTCATCATCAACCCACAGTTACTAAAATTGGCAAAGTGCACGAAGAAAGGGTGAGGAGGCTGCAACAGACCTCAGAGCTAGAGTGCTAGCTTAGAGAGGGAGTAGATTTTGTATTGGTGAACCCTGATTTCATATTATGACCAAGAATGAGCGGAGAAGAGCAATCTTGCTGCAGCAGTTCTATGCAATGACCAGTCTTAAAAAGGCTTGTCCCAACTGCCCTCCAATGAGAGAAAACGTTACTTTCTCCATGACCCATCACTGCTTTGTTTTAGGCCCATCCTACCCCTTATGAGCACTACAAGGAGACTCTGTGATATGGTTTCTATTTGGCAGCTGGACCACGCAGTGACTCATCATTTCACATGGAGACTTTTAAACATCTGCTGCCTGACTTGACCTAACACTGAAGCCTCAAACGGATCAAATTAAACCCCAGATTCTGAGATATTGCCAGCCATCTTCAGTTTTGCAAAGATATTTAAAAGAGCAAGGAATGCAAGCTATACAAACTTAGGCCTTCTGTTAGTCCTTGCTTAGTTCTTCCCTACAGCAACTTTTGTGGGCAGCTGCAAACAATTTTGTCACCGACTATGGGATTTTGTAAACTGGGTGGTGCTTCCCCAGAAGATGGCGAGGGAACCACATGGGAAAGATCCCAATGAATAATTTTGACTTAAGGCTGTGTCGGTGACCCCTAAGGGAGTGCATCGCAAGGCAAAGAGGCCTTGAGCAGCTCCATGTTAAAGGGGACTTCTTACCTTCTCTCAATACACAACACAGAGCAGGCATACTCCTTCACACAGACACAAAGTTGTTCCCCCCAATTTGATGCCACGTTGGGACTGCACACCTGGGAACATCGAGTTAATGAGGGAACCTCTAAAGGCAGAACAGTCTCCGTTTACTCTCCAGCTTTTTTACCTTGCGGGCGAGGCCCAGAGCGATGTAGCACTTCTCTCCTGGATCCACAATCTCCACCTCAAAGTAGTGACTCCTGGTACTCAAAGGCTGCCGAGCTTGTGCAAGACCCACATCAATGATGCTCTTCCCTTTCCCTATATATTCCAAGAGCTGCAAAGAGAAGACAAGACAATAGCTGATTGCCCATCCCGGCCTGACACTCCATCTTCTGAAGTCACCACAGGCAGCCATAATCCTATCAACATCCTCTGTGTTAATTATAGAGAATTCTGAAAGCCTGACAAGCAAAAGAGCAAACAGGGACTCCCCAAGGTAATTGAGAGAGCCATAGGGTAAGCATTCATTAGACTTGGTCGCTGCATGGTAATTAAACAGTCTGTATGCCTTACAAGGTGGAACAGCAATCAAATCAAGAGTAACATGTGAAATCATAAACTAGAAAAATCCTATCTTGGCAAATATCACATAACCACTTCCATGGATATGTAAGGTTGCTTTTCAACAAGATGGGAAATATCCCCCCAAAACAACAACTATTATTATTATTATTTGCTTTTCCCATTTTACCGTATTTTTGTATTGTGAATATGCTACAGACAACTGAAGTAGGAGTCCAAGACATGCATCCACAAACTACTCTATCTTATTTGATAGAAACTTCCAAGCTAAAGGTTGCAATAATTTGGAAGATCAGCACATTTTGATCTCATGGTAAAACCTGAAATGGTTACAAACATAAAACAATACAACTAAAAGAAGTGGATTTTTCCAAAGATGGATAATGATTATAGGTGTTTTTCAAATAAACCATTAAACTATGTAATATATTAGCAGACTACACTGCTGTACAATGTATTATTAATTCTTGCTCCAATTTAATAATTTGCTGAGGCTATCCCTAGAATATGTGCTGCCATCATTTTGATTTTATAATGCAACATCTTTACTTATACCGTGTTTCCCCGAAAACAAGACCCAACCGGAAAATAAGCCCTTACATGATTTTTCAGGACGCTCGTAAAATAGGCCCCACCCCCAAAATAAGCCCCAGTTAAGATCGTCAGCTAGACGGACATATTTCCCCGAAAAGAAGACCTAACCAAAAAATAAGCCCTAATGCATCTTTTGGAGCAAAAAATTAATATTAAGACCATGTCTTATTTTGGGGAAAACACAGGTATATCCATTCTGGTTTAAAAATTGTTTGCTTTATTTCTGAATTTAAGAAGCACAGGTAGTCCTCAGCTTATGACCATTCATTTAGCAATTGTTCGGAGTTACGACAATGCTGAAAAAAGGGCCTTATGACCAATCCTCACACTACTAACTGGTGCAGCATCCCCATTCACATGATCAAAGTTAGGGCACTTGGCAACCAGCATGCATTTACAGTGGTTGCAGTGCCTGGGGGGAGTCACACGATCGCCATTTGCAATCTCCCCAGCTGGCTTTGGTCAAGCAAAGTCAATGGGGGAAGCCGGATTCACTGAACAATCCCGTGATTCACTTAAACAACCCATGGTACAATAATCTGTTTAACACCTGCAACTAAAAAGGTCGAAAAATCAGGGGCCATTCACTTAATAAGCGACTCGCTTAGCAATGGAAGTTCCAGTCCTACTGTGGTTGCACATCAAGGTCTCCCTGTACTTTTTGTACCCTGCTTTATTCTTCTTCCCTCTTGAGGAAGCCTTGTCTAGATGGATGTTATAGATTTCATCAACCTCAGAGCAATTTCCCGCATACAAGTTTTAAAGAAATATTACTTGTGCCCATCCAGATAGGCAGCCTATAAGTGACAAGACTGAACTTTTGGCCTTCAGCAATAACCACATCCATGCTTTCAACAATATTCAGCGTGCAAAAATATTCTTCTTCACTGATGGCACTTCAATGAAGTCTGCAAAACGACAGGATTCAAGTGTGTATAATTATAGACACACATAGATTCCACCTAAGCCAGTGGTGGCAAACCTATGGCACGGGTGCCAGAGGCGGCACTCAGAGCCCTCTCTGTGGGCACGCACGCCGTCGCCCCAGTCCTAGGCCTTCAGCTGGGTTTTATAAAACCTTTTCACTTTAGGCCTCCGCCACTGTGTGCAAAAAAAAAAAAAAAAAAAAGATTCAGTCAATCAATTTCAACTTCTTGCGGGAAAAAAAAAGATCTTGCAAAGTTGGAATTGATTGATTGAATTTTTTAGTCCCACCCAGTCTGCCGTTACCACTGCAGCCACGCCCACCCAATGGGCCACACCAGCCAATGGGCCACACCCAGCCAATGGCCACACCCGCCTGGCACCCGATGATGCATAAATGGGTTTTGGGTTGCAGCTTGGGCACTCGGTCTCTAAAAGGTTCGCCATCACTGACCTAAGCACAGACGTAGGGTATTTCAGGGACCTTGTCTGCACAGAAGCCAACTTGCACATAATATATGCAGAGGGACAGGCAGTCACTGTATGTGTGCCTCTAGAATGGAACGTGCTACACCTCTGCTCCTTGAACTGGTTGCCAGTTTGCTCCTGGGTCCAATTCAAGGTTTTGAAGTTTAAAGCCCCCTTCATGGCATGAGGCCAGATTATCTGAAGGACCACCTATCCCTGATTCCCATCAAATCCAGCAGAAGAGGTATGCTGCAGGTCCTGTCTGCGCTGGAGCCACAACTGGCAGAAGCCAGGAGATGAGCCTTTTTTGCCATGGTGCTCAGCTTATGGAACTTCATCCCCCCTGAAGTGAGTAGGTTCCATCCTTGTTTATTTTCCAGAAGTCCCTCAAAACTTAATTTGGCCGTGAGGCCTGGCGGTCCCAAGATACCAGTGTTGAGATGGCTCTGTTGTGGTTAATATCTGCTGTCCTCTTCTTGCATTTTAATCATAATTTTAATTTTTTTTCTAGATATGTTAACTTTTATACTACTGTTTTAAAGTTTATATATGCTAGTTATGCAGTTTATACTGTTATACGGTTATTCTGTATACATTTACTCTGTTTTACATAGTAACATTTTGTGAGATAGATGGTTATATAAGTGATCTATCTATCTATCTATCTATCTATCTATCTATCTATCTATCTATCTATCTATCTATCTATCTATCTATCTATCTATCTAATCTAATCTAATCTAATCTAATCTACAGGAGTGGCCAAAATTGTGGAAACCTTTTGGGAAAAGTGTATTTTTGAGGTTTGATGGCTAATAACACCACTTTTTTTGGGGGGGGGAGGAATAGTACCATAAAATTATGTATCAATGGAAAGATAATTTAATCAAGAATGTAATGCAACATAGTTTGTTCAATTATCTGTTCTGTATTCTATGAAATGTTATAGCCAAATAACCAGAAAAAGGAAGCACAACTTGCTCAGGTTGGTATCAGGTAGCTTTCCTTCATCTGATTGTAGCCAATGAGCATGAGTGTTTAGAGAGCAGATCACAGTAGGATTCAGTTATTGATGTCATGTATTGAAGCCGAGAGGAGGACATTTGTCAGTGTGTTATGTGATCGCTATCAAGTTGGTTGGGGTTTTTTTTTCTTTCATTTAGTGAGCTTGTAAAACATAATAACATTAAAGTAATGGTGCAAAGAGTTGACTGGTTGCCCAGAAAGCGATGTAAAATAGTATTATTAAGTGAACAAGGTTAAGAAAAATTGGTGGAAACTTAACCAAAGGTGGCATTTCTACTGTACACTTTTCCCAAAAGGTTTCCTCAATTTTGGCCACTTCTGTACCTATCTATCTTTCTATCGGCTCGCCTTTCAAATGTTGCACCTGTGATGGATAATGTCAATTAAACAATGTTTATAAAGGTGGAGTTCATTAGCAGTGTTCATATAAGAAATTGTCTCGTCACCAAACAGCTCGAAAGGGCTAAAAAGCCTCTAGTCCTGCTCAGATCCTGTTCCATGTGATTCACATCCAGTGGCAGTGAAGCAAAAATCCTATTTTGGTTTTTGCATTGCAAAATATCTTACATAGTTTTATACCAAGGATGCAAATAATTCTATGCAAACTAAGGAAGTTGAATAAATGTTCACAAACTTTTTGGTTTTGCATCATTTACTATGCTAACAATATAAGGAGCCAGCAGCTTTTTATGCATAAAAGCCCGTATCTTTAACAACTAGATCTTTTCCTCAAGAGGGTTCCGATATGACAGACCCTAACCTAAACGTTGTGCTATTTGAAACCAAACAGAAATGTTGACATCTCCATCCTCGTAGTTTAAGAACATTGTACCCCGGGAGAGCCAAGTTATATTGACACCGGAGGCAAACCATCCCACAAGTATCTTTTTTCTGTGATGCTGGCAATCCAATGCAAGAACACATTAAATTCTAATTTGCTGGCCTTTCATGACATCCAACACCAGTTTTGCCTAAGAACGGGGCTGCCAGTAATACATTCTAGAGATTTCTTGCATACTTTCCAGTCTATCCTTCGAGCCACACGGGTTAGAAATCTTCCGTTTTGTTTTCTTAAAGAAAAGCAAACAGATTGCGGGAAACATCGCTAGGAGTGCCAGCATCGCACGCATTTCCTGGGAGAAACTGAAACTAACCACTGCATGTGCCCTTCAGGTTACCACAACTCAGTCCCTCAATTAGGCCAGCAGAGCATCGATGATGAAGAGCTATCCAAAGTATGCAGAAGCTGACCCTCCGGTGCTCTTTTCTTTTTTTTTTTTTGTTGCCTGTGTGCACGGAACACCTCTCATGAAACCCAGCCATATGCTGAACCAAACTTTCCTGGCTTCTGCAGCCGGGTGGAAAAAACGCAAACCGCTGACCCTTTCCACTGGCTCTCCAGGCTGCTGCAGAATTCCGAGAACTGCTCATCCATCTAAACAGAAAGCAAACATTTCAAACAGCTGGATCGGGGAAGCGGTTTGACAACAAGGGGCTGAGCCACCTTGACAAGGATCTTGTCTCCTTGGAGGAAGAACAGTTGCAACGTTAATGCTCTTTTGCCCACGTTTCAAATCAAATGCTTTCCATCACCAGTTAATAAGGTTGGTGGAAAGGCTTCCCGTTACTTCTGCAAATTAAAATCATTTGACAGTAAGAACAAACCCGAGCAAATGACAGTCGGGATTGGACGAAGGACAATTGAATGAGGAAAGAGTGAGTGGCTGCGTGTTATTTGCC